GGGACTATAACCTTTTTAACCAATTATTTAATCATAATAAATAAAAATATATCAATAAGGGCAGTAATGTAATTATGTATTTTTTTTCATAATTTTAAATGTTATTTTAAATAGTTGTAATTATCCCATTATTTTAGGTTGGAACCGATCACGTCGAATCCCATGTCCTCATCCCCATCGTTTTATGTATCTGCAATGTAATATCCAATCATCTTGCTTGACTCGAAGAATTAACTGTGATAGCAATGCAATTATCAATCAACTTCTGCATATCGATTCAAAGTGTTAACTGTGATAATCATTTGATACTCAGCTAACTTTTGTTAATCGATTCCTCAACTGTGATAACAATCCCTTAGCACTCAATCGCTATTGTATTATTATTATTATTATTATTATTATTATTATTATTATTATTATTATTATTATTATTATTATTATTATTATTATTATTATTATTATTATTATTANTTATTATTATTATTATTATTATTATTATTATTATTATTATTATTATTATTATTATTATTATTATTATTATTATTATTATTATTATTATTATCCCTTCTTTGTGATAAATGTGTGATAAAATAAAGATTTATTGTATTTTCCTTACGATAATCACACTGTGATAAATCTGTAATGCCTAAATAGAGTAACAATAGCTTTATTTTACCTTAAGCATGTGATACTTACAACTGTGATAATCTTGTGATAGAGAAAGGAAACCATTGTATATTACTGTACGAAGTCTAATTTCTCGATTTTTCCTTACAATTGTTACAACGTGATAAGTCTGTGATGCCTAAACAGAGTAACGACTTCTTGATTTTGTCGTAATCGTGTGATACTCACACTGTGATAATCGTGTGATACTCTCATTGTGATAATTGTGTGATATGGAAGGGAGTCATCAATATGTTGTGTTTGTGATGAAGATGTGATACACAACACATACCTCTTAGAAATCACCTTCCTCTTTTTCGTCGACGCCTCCAAAGTCGATTGATTTCTTTCTCCCTAAAACCATCGACCCTGTGATGTGATATAATCTCATCGTATTATTTTATTCTATATTCCTGTTTTCAGTTTTATCCCTCTACGTCTTTCTTATTTTTGAAAAAAATTAATATTCATTTACATTTTAAAAATCCCTCAAATCCTATTAAAATGTGATTTAACACACAATACTTGGCTTACAAGTGTTCCTACGTTTTCGCAAATCACAGAGGTTCTCGTTTGAGCCATTCCCTACATATATATATATATATACACATTTATACACAGGGGCCTAATCAAATGAGAACTAATTAGTTTGTGGTAACTGTGAGAACCAATATTAACCACAAATCAATTGATAAATTAGGAAATTTATAATTTTAGCAATTTTGAATTAAAATTTTAATGCAAGGATATTTTTGGTATTTTAAAACTTTCCTCCCTCCTCTCTTCTCTCTCCGGCCACCGTCCTCCGGCCACCGTCTTCCGGTGATACTACAATGATATCACAATGCATCATATATGTGATTGGGTATCACATTGATGTCGTTTGTGTGGTCGATCGAAGATGTAACACAGTGGTATCACTATGCATCTTATATATGATTAGGTATCACAATGTATCTTTTGTTTAACAGAGTCAATATTTTTAGGTATCACAGTGGTATCATAGTGGTATCACCGGATGACGGTGGCCGGAGGCCGGAGAACGGTGGCCGGAGAGAGAAGAGAGGAGAGAGGAGAGTTTTAAAATACCAAAAATATCCTTATATTAAGATTTTAATTTAAAATTACCAAATTTATAAATATATATACATATATATTATATGTAAATACAGTTGTTTTATGTATTTGTCCGTTACCAAAAAACGTTAAAATACAATATGATAACCTGTTATTCAGTTGTGAATAAACGAAACTATGTCTATCTTTTAGTTATGTTGTCCTTGAGACATGTGGCGTCAGAGCCAATACGAATGGTCCCACCAACGAGAAAGAAGGTTGAGAAGCCGTGAAAATGTGAAATTTGTTGGGTGCGGAGGGATCCACCCAAAATTAAAGTGGGGCTGAGCCAAATTCCCATAGGTTTGGGTGGGGCAGGGCTCCGACGGGAGGACATGTAACGCCGTGAATGAAGATTAAAATGGTAACTACAACTCATTTAGGTCTCCGTGTGGTCCTTTGCATGATAGTGAGGTGTGTTTTGTGTTTGCATCTCATTTGCATTTATTATGTTTAGTTGATGTATATCAGCATTTACTTATCTTATTTTATATTTATACCCCTATACTTTTAATTATGTACCGATATGTCCCTTCAGATTTAGTTTAGTTGTGTATATTATCCTGTAATTTTTTAAGATTGTTTACTTATTTTGCGGTTAGATTTGTTTATTGGTCATCTTACATGATGTTTTTGGGTGTTTTTGTTAAATTTTCTGATACTTACTAGGGGTATTTGTGGTGTGGTTTGCACATATAACATTTATTTTATTAATCTGGATATCTAACCCGTTATGCGAGCCGACTAATTTCAGGGCGACCATCTTCTTTGCAGATAGTCCGGAGTCACTGCATTTGAACCTGCGTGACCACAAGATGATTTTTATTTCTTCTTAGATTTGAACCTGGAACCTTTTGGTACTTTTGACATTTGGAGTCAAGCTCAAACCAATAAGGCACCACCTTTATAGTTCACATATAACATTTTTATGCCTAGAATCTAATAATCATAAGTTTAAAAATATATTATAATATCAACAATAACACGAACGTAGTCCAATAAAATAAAGATTTAACACATCTGATTTTCAAATACATATTTCGTAATTAAAAACAATCTAAAATGTAAAAAATAAACTTTAAACTCAAAATCTAAAAATATTATATAAATCAATAATTATTCTATATTCTATATAAAATTAAAATATATAAAATATACAGTATGATGCAGTTTGATAACTCAAAATTGCAAACCACATTACATAGTACAGTTTGGTAAAAATGCAATTGCAAACCATGCCACATATTTTAAACTACAGTTGTGATATGGTACAAATAATTTATATGGTTCAACGGTTTAGATGAACACCCCTAATATTTACCATTAATCAATTATTAAAAGGCTAGAAAAGCACATTTTGCAAATAAAAAAGGACTCATAAAGTAATTTCTTTTCGATTATATGTCTCCTTTTTAAGTTCACTCGGTTTCTCGACCATGTGACTACAGTGGCCATCATATGCTCTCTCTCTCTCCCCCCCCCCTCTCTCTCTCTCTCTCTCTCTCTCTCTCATTTCAAGACCTTGAAGTTGGTGATATGAAGATTCTACTCTTCTTCTGCTGAAAGAATCGGTTGGTTTTTTCTTTATTCTTCTCGCAAATGGATTCCGTTTGATTCTTCGCTGTTTCAGCTTGCTTTGTACATGCGTGTATTACCACGATGAATTGAAGGTCTAGGGCTTGGTTTATATGTTTTATTTACTGTTTCTAATCGTTTGATTTGGTTTTTGTTTGATGTGACTATTTTTTGAGAGAGCAGATTTCAAATCGGAGCTTGTTTAGTTCAAATCCTGAACCGATTTGATTAATATAGTTTAGATTGTACGTTTTCGGAGCTTAGAATCAGAACCGAAGTTGTTTTAGTTGAAGGATTAAACTGATTTTGATTGAATTTCGACTCGGAGTCACGAAATTCCGGTTCCAAAACGTACTGTTGTTATCGTTTGAGACCTTGGAAGTTGGAATCGAGATTGGAGTTCGTTTAATCAAATTAAAAAAAAATCAGTTGATTTTTGATTCGTTTCTCGGATTGGCTTCCAAAATTATAGAATCAGGTAGTGTTTAGTAGCTTAGAATCAGAATTAGTAATGCTGGTTTTGGTTCGAAATCGGTCATAATTTATTGACCTCCGATTCCAGGCGAAGGAATTGGAGTTCTGAACCACCATTGTAGTACGGGAAATTATGACATCAATTTGCAAATTCTGTTTTGATCTTGCCAGTAAAATATTCTCTTAGATTGCAGCAGCCAGCAGGTTTTGATTTTGCTGGTGGTTGGCCGAGCAAGCATGTTTCATCAATCAATATATTTTGTCTAGATGTTAGTGTCATTTATTGGTAAAAAAGGTAGATGATGATTGATGTGATGAATTCATCTCCCAGTCACTCTAATTTTGCCAAGAATAAGTAGAGAAGGCCATCTTTTGATTGAATTGCTTGATGTAAAATTTCTATGCAAAATTTGTCCAAGAAACATGCTAGCTCATGTTAACTGTTAAGTCCATCCCATAAATGGAGAGTCCATGTTTGACTTTTGAAGTCAAAGGTAGTCTTTCTCAAAGTACTTATATTAGACTGCTTTTTAGCACTATCTTGTTGTTCTGGCCTCTGGGAAAGGAAGGAGAAGGAAGAAAATCACATCTCTAAACCAAAATGCAATCAAGAAACAAGATTGTGCAAGGAACTCATGAATGTTATGTTGTTACCAAATAGGATGTTTCTACCAATCTATCAATTAGGCAGGGGAAGAGTCTGTGTACTAAGTTTCTCTTCTTCCATTTGAAATCCCTTGTCACTACCAAAATCCTTTTTGATTCTACGATGGTCCTTCTGTTCCAATTTTATCTTTTCTTCTTGTAGTTTGTTCTAACTTAAATGTTTTCGTTATGTCATAACTGTATGTTTTAAGGTTACGGTGTTAATTTGATTGTGGCATTTTCGATGGACATTTTAGTACGTTACTGACAAAAAGTKGTGATTTTGTTTTGATTTAATTTAGAATCGAGGATCTGCTATTGGCTCAGCTGCAAGATCGCTGCTTCAAATATTTCTTGAGGTAAGGGATGGTGGCTGAGTCATGGTTTCGTGGTCTATG